CCCCAAAACCCCAAAACCCCAAAACCCCAAAACCCCATGCATTGCGCAATTGCTGAAGAAGAGCATAAAATAATCTCCAACTATTACTTATAAATTTAAAAATGGAAGATAGTAAAATGCTTGAAAGCTTTGAAATTATGAGTGAAAATGAAAAGTCTATGGAAATTACAGAGAAGAATTCAAGAGATGACAACAATCCCTTCACACCAATTCTAGATAAGACGCCTGTTGAGTCTGAGTTCTCAGTCCCAGTCTGGATCGTAAGTTTGAAATATTTCTGTTTGAAACAGTTTGAAAATAATTTGATTTCATTGCATAATGGCCTCAATATTTTTACTAATCCCACCCAATTTTGAGTTAGGGCATATTTTCAATGTTTATATCAAAGAAAAAATTAAACCTCTGTTTAGGCTGATAACGTTAAGAGTAGAGAATGGAAGGATAGACAAGAAGCTCTTCTATCAGCTATAAAGTTAATCAGGTCAGAACCCTTTGCCATCTCCCAACTCAAAGCATCAGGATTTGATTTTGTCAAAATTCTTGATGAAACCAACAAAAGTGTTGTAAGAAAGTGATACAAAGTCACAAGTCTCTACATCAAGCTTGAAGATGATCAACAGTATCTTAAAGAAATCTACCATTCTTTGCTTTGGAAGTAAGTTGCATCATTTTACCAATTTAGGTGTCTTGAGAATGGAGTCTCCAATAGATTCACTTATCGTTACGCATTAAGAATCATTTGAGAACTTATCGAAATGTTCAGCAATGTTGATGAAATCAATAAGGCTATCCTCCTGAAACTTATGGAACCTGAGAAGGCTGTCAAAGCTCAACTTGGGGTTCTTTCACTACTAAACTTCTTAATTTACAAATACGGACCAGAAAAAATCGATACTCTCCTGTTTGTAGAAGAGATCGGGAAATATTCACTGAACCCAAACGGAAAGATCAGAAAGGAAGCTCTAAAGTTCCTAGTAATTGCTGCTAAATGGAAGAAGAATAAAGATAGCATTATGACTGTTGCCATGAAAGTTCTCCAGCCAGCCCAGATCAAGCTCTTGGAGAAGATGCTCCAAGCACTGGAGGACACTACTTCCTTGGATGAAGAATCATCCAAAATTAACGAATGTCTCGAAGACTCTGATGAAGAAGATGCTTGGTATAATAAAGATGGAGTGAAAGTTGATAGAAATGCAATTCTTGCAGCAAAGTTTACTGATGAAGAAATGAGCAACCACTATAACGCAAGATGGTCAAGAAACGCGTTTTTAATCTTTGATTGGGTGAAGAGAGTTTCATTGCTCGATGATATCATGTTCGATTTAATGTCTGACAAAATTGTGGATGACGAGCTTATCTACATTTTTGATTACATTGATCATATGTTATGAAGCTATAATCTCAATGTTCTTATGAGAACCCAAAAACTAATTCAGACCTTTATTCTGAAGTCAACCAACCACCCATCTGAAACCTTCAGTTTCCAAGTTAAGAGAAACTTTAGCCGTATCATTGAGACATTTGTTAAATCCCTGAATGTCAGTGTTCCCAAATACTTGGTTGAAGTGGCCAAAGTATTCTATTATCTTGAGAAATACATGTTCACCGAAAGAGAATACTACATGATGCTTCAGTCTTGATTCGCTTGGTGTAACCAAAAGAAGGGTATTCAGGTGATCACTGAGAGTATTGTGACCTTCATTGAGAATTCCTCCCCAGATATCAAAAATGTCTTAGAAGGCACTAATTTTGCCAGAACAATTGAGAGTGGAAATAAGTGTCATGTCAAGAAAAATGCTTCTCCAATCATACTTTTGACAGTCAAGGAGAAATACGGCAAACATGAAGAATTTGAAAAATATAACACTCCAGATCTTGCTAAATTGATTGATGAGTTAACTCCAGGCCAAATTAAAAGATTCGATATCTCCAAGAAAAATATTATAAAGAAGGGGAAACTTGTTCTAGAGTCTATAAAAGAAGAGCATGAACCGAAAGATCTTCAGCTGATGGAAGACGGTTACGAAAGCATTGAGCAAATCTCTGAAGAGACTTCCTCATGTTGCAGTAGCGACTTTGATTTCATTGAAAATGATGATATCCCTGATGACATTTTTATTGATGTGACAACTCCAGCTGAATCTGAGAAAAAGGAAAAGGATAATTGCGTAATCTTCTAATTCTACATTCAATCAACTAATATTGTTATGGGGTTTTGGGGTTTTGGGGTTTTGGGGTTTTGGGGTTTTGGGG